CCAAAACAAAACAAAAGCTACCGAACCGGATGGCTGGGAGCCCCTCCTCTCCTCGGTTGCTTTCTGCTCTCCTGCTAAAAGTGACGAACTGTTTGCGGTTTAATACGGAAAACCCATGAGTTGGCAAAACAAAAAAAAAACGTCCTACCATCCCTTGGTAAAATGCGGCAAAGTCTCCTGGATGGCGCGGTTCAGCGGCGCCTGCGGCCAGTCCGGCAGCGCCGCCGACAGCTCCGGGGCCTCTAAACCCAGCAGCGCCTCGTCCGCCGCGAAGAGCGGCTCGCCGCTCGGGCCGCGGGCCTCGTGCAGGTAGAAACCGGCCTCCTCCGAAGCGCACAGCGAGCGCCAGTGAGGGGTACCCGGACATGTAGGGTTCCCCCAAAATGGAGCCATAGGTTATGACCCATGGACATGGCCGAGGACCAGGTGTTCCAGTAGAAAGGTTAGAAGTTCGGGGTACCAGCTGTTTTTCTTTTTTTATTAGTAGGGGAAACCTCACACCAAAAAAACCCTCTATCCACCCTAAACCTGCCCTAGGACCTCCAGAACATGAATTTTAGGCAAATAAGAACTCTCGGACCCTTGTTGGATGAACGCTTGACTGCTCCGTCTGTGCCTCAGGGGTCACCAGTCCATCCACCACTAGGCGCTTCGCAGGACTCCGCGCTTTCAGCGGGTACACCGCACCGAACATCCGCCGCAGCAGCGGATGCCTCGCAACCGCCATGCCGATGGCGGACGGAGGGGCGGGCGATTCCAGGCCCTGTTGAAACCCTAATGTGAAACGCCCATGATTGCCCAACGCGTGGGCAAAGGCGCGAAGGGGCGAAGATCTCGGATGACACGCGGGACCCAAGCAGACCAACTAACCAAACCAAACCAAACCGAACCGAACTAAACCAGACAGACAGACAGACAGACAGACAGACAGACAGACAGCCAGACAGACAGACAGATAGATGAACACACAAACAGAGAAACAAAGAAACAGACAAACAACCAAACAGCCAAACAACCAAACAAACCAAACAAACCAAACAAACAAATCAAACAAATCAAACAAACCAAACAAACCAAACAATCAAATCAAACAAAACAAACAAACCAAACAAACCAAACAAACCAAACAAACCAAACAAACAAATCAAACAAATCAAACAAACCCAACAAACCAAACAATCGAATCAAACAAATCAAACAAACCAAACAAACCAAGCAAACCAAATAAACCAAACAAACCTTGCAAACCAAACAAACAAAACAAACCAACCAAACAAACAACCAAACAAACAAACAAACAAACAAACCAAACAAACAAAACAAATAAATCAAATCAAAACAAACCAGCCAACCAACCAAAACAAACAAACAAACAAACAAGCAAGCAACCAAACCAAACAACACAAAAACAAAAACAAAACAAAACCAACCAACCAAAACAAACAAACAAACAAACAAACAAACACACAAAACAAAACACAACAAAACAACAACAAACACAAAAACGGACAAACCAAAACAAACAAACACACGCACCATTTTCGTGGATCCCCGATTTGAGAAACGCCCAAACAACACCTCATGGAATTCCGGGATTCCAGCACCTTCCAAGGGCTATCAAATCGTAGGCGCGCCTTGATTGGTCACCAGGTACCTTGACCACCCAAAGCCGTGAACGGCTGGCCTGAAACTGGAGGCCGGTGGCCCGGACCAAACGTGAGGCGCCAGCAGCTCGGTGTCCGCGCGGACCACCACTTCATCTCTGACCCAAGACCTCAGGGGACGCGCTGGCCGAAGCAGGCTTCTCAGCTTTGGCCCTCCCCCGCCCGGACAAAAACTACTCGAGGGCCTGGAAGAAAAGCAACATGTTCATTTGCCACCAGAGAATATTCTCTTCATTCCGCAAGAATCGGACCAGTGACTCCGGGCACTTTTGAATTTCCCACGTGGGTCCATTTCAGCCTCGCCCTGACACATTTCGAGTCTGCTCTCTCAGTGCGGCGCCTCGCAGATCGCTCCACCAGGTTGTGATGGATCAGCGCCCGCTGCTGGTCCGCAGCGATGACCTGCCAGGGTGTCCAATGCCGCCATTGGCTCTGGACGAATTAATTACTCGAATTTTGCCGAAGAAAAAGAGTGCTGTCTGGAACAGAATCTAGCAAGGGCTGCTTGAATTCCTTCACACCGGCTGCACCGAGGGCATTTCCACGGGACTGGCCCCTGTTGGGCTGGGCAAATGCGATTGTCTGTTGCTTATTCCCCCAAAAGGATCACTGAGAATTGCTACGAACAGACAATTAATGCTTTCCATCACCACAAAAGGAAATGCGGGAACTCTGGTCGAAGTCTTAAGATTCTATTATAGCTCAGCTGGTGTTCATTGTATCAGACATGTTGTATGATCGAAGATTCCACGTGGAGACCAAGGAAGCAGCGGGGTTCAAAGTTTCCTATTGCACATGATTCCCGTTCCCAACTGGGATTTTGGAATTGCGTATGTTTCAGCGCCAACATGAAATGCAACAAAATGCGTCGTCGCACTGGATGTGGTCTACAAGGACAAGGTAAGAGTCCTATGGATGGGCTCGTGTTTTGCAGACCTCAGAGGGGCCTTTCAAGTGGCGATGATCCCACACATGCTGAGCAGGTGCCGGTCAAGGGTGACAATGGATCCTACTGACATACCAACATCCTTGAACCTCCCAAAGAAGGGATGCGTTGCCCAAGGCGCACGAGTGTTCATGACAATTGGAAACCCCCTGAAACATGGAACTCCCTCGAAACAGTATTTGTCTACCTTGGCTTCCCTTCGAAAGCCAACTGATTGGCTTAAGAAGGGGCCTACCCTGCAACCTGTGCAGTTAAGCCAAAATCGACCCGGAACAACCATCCGCATACCCAGTTCAGGGAACCATTTCGATCATCCAGTTCGGTGTTTCCAAACATCGGCAACGCCTACCACCGGTTTCCCTTAGCCAATGCCGAGATTTTGGGACACCTCTTTGCCTCATGTCGGCGTTTCGTCCGGTTGACACCCGCTCGCCTTCTCCGCTGCCAACGCAGAATGCAGTCGGCCCAGCTCCCGCCGCTTCTCAATGCGAGGGCTCGTCCAGGGGGAGCGACTCCTGGACAAATTCTCACATTGACCCTGGCGACTCGACCACCACATCAAGCCATTGACAAACCGCAGGCTGGTCAGATAGGTCAGGGATCACATGAAACCTGAAGGAAACATATGCTCAGACGTGCAACAAATGTTTGTTCTTGGCCTCCAGCCTCCATTGAACATTAACCCAACCGTCACGTCAAGCAATTGATAACGTGATCCACTTTAAGCCACAGGCCGGTCAAATAGGTCAGGGCTCCCGTTATTTTCCCTCAACCAAGGGACACGCACCTTTCATGGGCCAAAAAGGTGATGCTTAAAACCGCCAAAAAGGGAAATATAGGGTAATAGGGACCCCTGTAGGTCCATGTATTTTTGACCCACTCGCATGCTCCGAGTTTCTGTCCAGTCCTCAGTCGCGCTCGCCATGCCATGAGTGCTCAGGAAGTCCCAAGCGCTGCAGAAGGCCCCATACCCGCAATGCAGGATGTGACAGTGCAATACCAAGCGGTCGCGTTGAGTTGAGAAAAACTAAACCCAGCAACACAATTTGTGCGAAAGCCAATGGCACTATATCCTTTTATGTGTATATATATATATAAATGTCCTTTCTGCCAGCTAGGACCAGTTTCAACTAAATCTGATGCATGGACAGTCTTCTTAGACTTCATGATACGTACCACTTTCTAGCGAATTGCACAAAAATGCCAACTGCAAAGAAGGGATTTCTAAACGAAAGCATCTTCATCATGATGCTGCAATGATTTGCCCAGTCTGGTGCCGATAAACAATGCTCAGACTGCCCTTCTGAGCACATGTGGCTGAGAGAAGCGTGCGAGACGGGTCTGTTTGACGCTTCAACGTTGGATCGTGCCTGTACTGCTTTCCATTCAGCAAGACATCCTCAAAATCCAAACCGGGCACTTTGGGTGCATTCCGTGCTGTTCTGGGTCCATTCAAGTGACCGTCGAAACGGTGGATTGACAGAAAATCAGCCCTGAGAATAGCGCGACATATTCACAAGGGGCCCAGCTGTACCGTGGATTTGGGGTCAGCAAGGCGACCCGACCCGTGGACAGCGGCACATCATGACACCGAAGCGAGGCTGACAAGGAGACCAAGTCTTAGTTTGACAAAAAACACCCAAGCGATCGTCTTACGCATCTTGAGGTTGGATCACAGGCTTTGCTTCCTGTTGCCTTCCAGCATCTCTTTGCGGGAATCAGTTCCCAACGGCCAACATCTGGTTCGCGGGCTCCGAGTCCAGTCTGGACTCCGGCCTAAAACTCGAGGGCACTGCGCAGGCAGCGTTTCGCATGTGCCACTGTGGAACTTGAGGAAGAATGCACTCCCAAGTGGTGCACACTTATCCTCACCTACATGATGTTCACCACAGGGTCCCCGTATAGAAGTGTCCATTCATATCAGAATGTGCTTGTGAAATTGATGGAAATCACCAATGACAGGGAATCAGATTCAGAGAAATCGCCAAGTGAAAGCTTCCCGAGCCCAGTTGCTGCAAAATCACAAACTCCACAGAGGCCCACAAGAGTCCCCCCACGGGTTGCAACAAACATAAGCTTGATCAGCACAAGTTCCAAGAAGCGGTTGGTTAGAAAGGGAGGGAGCTATTTGGAGCAAACACTGGGGGCCTCTGACAAAATTATGCTGTGCGCATTCAAAGAAGTGGACATACTATGTCGGCGAGTCCAATGCACACACACACACACTGCAAAAACATATGGGTATGTGCCAAAAAAAGGGGACCCCCCTAAACAAGTTGCGGTGTTCCTCTTGGCTTCCCTTTCAACCAAGCTGAAAAAGATACCCCACAAGGAACCCACAGCATCCCTTGAAGAGCGCCCTTCTGTCTCACCAATTTGGGCGCCGCTGCCATCCCGCAGCCAGCCCTCTCCGCCACGCAGCCTGGCCAACCCTCGTTCTTTTCGAAAACCGGCCGTTTTGTGGGGTTTCCGGAGGTTTTCTAGAAAGAAGGATGCCTGGAAAGCATGGGGACGGTAGCCCTTGAACTCTTGGCATGGTAGCAAAAAACTGTTTTTTCCCCCCCCCCCCGCCCCCCCGCCAGTAAAAATGCCAAGTAAAAATGCACAGAACCAAAAGACAACAACAAACACTTAGCCTGGGGTTGGGGGTCACTGTAAAACCATGGTCATGATTCTAGGGGAAAACGGATAGAACATTGTTTGGGCCCTTCCATTATTCTGCAGATTCCGCCTGATAAATCTCTCTAGGACCCGCTGCTTGGATTCCATGCTTTCAGCCATCACGCCGCACAAAGCCCAGTTTACGTGAAGGTATTCTCTGGAGGCCTGTGAGTCAGTTACCCCGCATTAATGACGTCGAAGCAGAGTTCGCGTCATTTCGTATCTACCTCGAACCATGCATCCAAGCACCCGATCGGCAACGCCCCGAGGGTAAGTCAGACCTGGTCAGGAGTCCTAAAGCTCACGCTCCATCTGACGGTGTGAGGGTTTTCAGTCGGCAACAAAACAAAGGCTTTGAATATCCACAAGGTCCTCCAGTAGAGAGATTAGAATAAGGGTACCTTTTTCTGTAGTCTATTTTAGTAGGGGAACCCTCCCCAAAAAAGGGCACTACTGGGGGACCCAGTCCACGTGTTTTCCTTTGTGGCCAGCTCGAAGTTTTTTTGGGGCAATTCTACTGATCGGACAGTGCATGATCGGCGGCTCCGGCCTGTGTAGATGTACTCCAGCATGTGCTGAACAGACTTAGATGCAGCTCACATGCATTGACTTGCTTTACAGCCTTATCTGGCTGCGGGTCAAAAATGGGTACCCAAAATTCAACCTGATAAATGGAAACATGAACCAAAATCTGCGGTCCCCTGGTGGTTTGATTTTGACCCAAACCCATCTATGCTGCATGACAAGGTCTAAACCATTGTGCATGCAATCTGGCCAACCTGGCCTCTGGGATCACCTCTCCACAAACAATTCGACTTTGCATCTGATTCGCGCTACAACCTGATTTCCGCCTGTTCATGTGACCATGGGTCAAAAGCCAAATCGTACCCCCAATGAACATCCGATTCAATCCCATTAAAATAGGTTCTAAAATGGGTGGTGCACCTACCCTAAAATGGTACCATTGTTTTTGACCCACAGCCATGGTTCATGGTCTCTCAAGCTATCAAAAGCCAAGCAACTTCTTCATCAGAGTCGGAAATGATGATTTCTCTCGCCTGGCCGGCGCAAATCAGCATCCACGCCCACGAATGCAACCATTCTCGCAGGAGTTGGTTGAGTGGGGAATTCCTAACAAACAAATTGCAATGTATAGACTCCCCCCCCACCCCCGGTGAACTTCGACATTGCAATGGGTGTCTGCCGAAAGCGGCCCATGTTGCTTTTAGGAAGTCACGAACTGCAACCTTTTCGGGGATTTCCAGGGAGCCTTTTCGCCTTTGAATATCGTACGGAAACTGAGGCCGAACTATGAGCCCCGGTCGAACTATGTTGTGCTCGCAAAGGATGTGGACACAATGAGTGAATCGCATTTGGAGCCTCTCGTCCTTATCTAGCCTAGTATGAGAGGTCATCCTGAACATATTCAATTTATCAGGACCAAATCATTACCGTCTCTTGCAAAATGGTCCCCAGAGATAAAACATGCAGCACATAGCCTGCGTGCCACCAAGAATGTCACACAAACTTGCGGAAGCCGACAATTGGTTGCGGAAAAATGTGATACGAGCCACGCCCGTGCACTGTAAAGGGAATTTCTTTGGAGTCACAAACGGCTGGCGTAAAACTCAGCTTTCCACAACCATGCTTCGGATTATTATTATTTTGTGGAAGGCAACACATACCTGGCAGTATACGCTCAAAAACACTCCGGGGCAGTTGTTTGAACAAGGGGTATTCATTCTCCTCTCTGTAGCCGGGCTTGGCAGCCTTAGCGTTCACCGCCTTCAAGTGCTTCTTTGGCACTGCCGCTGCCTTTGGCAGATCAGTCGAGGAGCTTGGTGCAGCACTGCTTTTGCGGGGATAATAAAGGCTTTCTGCTGCTCCATGCTAAGCTTCTTCCACTTCTCCTTCCACAGGGTGTCCTCCAACCGACGCCGCTTTCAGCACCACCATCTTCCCGCGCGCGCGCTTGCCGGCCCCAGCCACTGCGGATTGAGCTCGTGGGCCGACAAGGCATCCGCGGTCTTCCCCAGTAGCTTCTCCGGGACATGGTCGGGGTATCGACGGGGTATCGGGCATCGACAGGGGTGTCGTTCTGGGCGTGTCGTGGTGTCACGAAACAATTCCCAATGTGTATAAGCTATTAGAGCCAAGCAAACACACAGTAGCCTGCTCTGCTTTGCAGTGGTCATGTGATCAGCGGACTCATGATGTTCACAAACCATGTTCAAAGGGTATCGTTTGTTGGCAAGAAAATGCCAACCACCAGTCTTGAATGAAACGCCTTTACTAAAATGTGACAATTCTGAAGCTGCCTCATGTTGAAATAAGGGCTTGGCACCTGGTGGATACCTAAAGGTGCCTGAACCTCATATGGATGCATCTCAAAGTGCAAGAGGGACCCCAAACTGGGGCGGCTTTCCTCTAACACCTCCCCACTTGTGGATCCTCGTCCGCCGGGAAAAACAAAACAAAAAACACGGGGAACGAAAAGGTAGCAACTGGTTAAGAGAAGAAAAAAAGATTAAAAAAAACAACCGGCACCACGGGACAACAGAGAAACGAAAAGGGGTGGAAGCCACGCGAGCGCCCAGGCCAGGCGGATTGATCCGCGCCTGGCTTTCCTTCATCTCCGTATCCAGCATCGCCGCGAAGACGGTGGAGGCGGCCGCCAAGACCGCCTGCAGTGTTACAGGCCAAGGGAAAGAGCCGCAAATTATGGCAGAGAAACCATGGAGCCCCCCAAATGGCTGTGACCCACAGCCCTGTGGGTCACAAATAAGTTCCCAAAATGGAATCCCGGTAAATGGAAAACATGGACCAAAACCTGCGGTCCCCTGGTGGTTCAATTTTGACCCACAGCCAAATGAGTATGTAGAGAAGTATGGCCATGGTCAAAAGCCAAATCGTCCCTAGTGAACATCCGATTCAATCCCCACTGAAATAGGTTTTAAAATGGGTGGTGCACCTACCCCAAAATGGTATCATTGGTTTTGACCCACAGCCGTATGAGTATATACAACACAACACTCGAGGTGTAGGGGACTCCATAGGCAAGACAAAGCCAAGTGCTAGTACAAGTAGGGCAGTTCGATCGTGGAAGGCCCTTTGATTGGATGAGGTTTAGAGGAGCAATCCTGGTAAGGTCTAAAAACCACTTGCATCAAGTGCAAACAAAAACAACTAGCGTGTGTAGAGGAATGTCCTTTTTGGAGAATTCATGAGCATTTCAGGCATGCACATTTGCACATGTATATGAATTATAGTATACACACGCCTTTGTTGTGTGTCTCAGAGTAGTGGCAGTGACAGGGTTCTGTAGACTTCGGAAAGATCAGGCCCTCAATGATCTCTTGTGGAGAACATACTCTGCCAGAGTTCAAAGCCCCAGATTGGCACAGTGCGCCCTCCATGCATCCCGATACCACAGCAACATGTCACTTGAATGTCAACAGCCTAACCCACGTTCTCACGGACTGGTTTTCTGTTCGGACCCAATATGTTGGCACCTTGCTTCAACCCTCCACCGACCCCCTTGAAGTACTGGGGATAGACCACCTTCCCGAGCGATTGGGTTCCCAGTGCGCAAACTGCCACTCAAGCTGGCCTTCCCACGTTTTGAGGAAACTGTCTGTGGACCTCGCTTGCCATGAGACGCCGAGCGGATACCCAAGCAGTTGCCAACATGGCTAGGCATCAGCAAGAGCCAAACGTGCAGCAACTGCGAGGTCAGTGGGCTGTGACAAGTCCTAGCCCACTGCCATTCCAACATTGGTGCATTGTCCGGGTGTGTCACCGCTGTCATAACATGGAGCACGGACAGGTGGGAGGCGGGCGTTTTGTTTTTCTTCGAACCCGGAACCGGGAAAATACTTTGGGCCCTCAGATTCCCCGCTAAAAGTTGTTCACTTTTAGTGGGCGAAATGGAACTACCGCTAAACACAAGGCTAAAAAGCTAAGGTGATGGCTGGGAGCCACCAAGTACTGTAGAGCATACTCTTAGTACCTTGAAGCCAGCATGGGACCAGGATGGCAAACAAATCCTCCGCCCGGCGAACAAAAGGAACCTCGAGCATCCGGGTTGGGCTTGGCGACCCGGCGCGATGCACTGGGAAGGTCTTCCCCCCACAAATCACCTGGCCGGACGGCTTGGGCTTGCTGGGCTTATTGCACACCCGGGTGTGGATCATGTGGCCTGAGCAAATCTTGCAATCCCATCCTGAGCCTCGTCCGGACACCCTGGCGATCACGATGTGAAAACATGGCCCGTACTTAGTTACTTGGCTTAGCAAAAGCCCAGAAGTTTCTGGCCTGGGCTTCTGGCACATTCTGACGCGATCCCAAGCGCCAACTCGGAGATTCTACAAGGGGTGCGGATTTATTTTGGGTTTTTTTTCTTCTTCTTTTTTTTTTTTGGTTTTTTTTTGTTTTTCGTCCGGGCCAGCAAAATGTCGCATTTTCTCGCGAAATTGGCGCATTTTACACTAGCTCGTCAACATCCCCAGCATCGTTTTCAACATCCCCCGCATGTCCGACCAACATCCCTAGCATCACCAACAAATCGTAGCTGGCGGGTTGACGGGGTCAAGACAATAATGCTTCAAACAGGAGGGCATTTCAATCCCAGCAAAAAAAAATGCAAAAAAAAGAAAAAACAATTAAGAAAAACAGAGCGGGGTAGTGATGATTCGAACAGGGGTGCAATTAAAAAGTCTAAAAAGTAGCGGGGGGGTTGGGGGGGGCGGCAGCCCCCCCCATGATGTTCGAAGAATTTGTAGAAAATCTAAAACGTAGCGGGGGGGTTGGGGGGGGGGCGGCAGCCCCCATGATGTCGGAAGAAGTGGTGATTCAAGTAGGGGTGCAATGATTCAAGAAAGGGTGTGATAGAATTTACAAGGCCGCGGGAGGGTTGGCGGGGGTGGCTTCCCCTATGATGTTCGAAGAAATGCATACATACAGACATACACGGACTACACAGATTACCTAAAATGTCGTATTTTGCAGCATTTTCTCGCGAAATTGGACGCTCGAAAAAGTGATGATTCAAACAGGGGTGCAATTCAATCTCTGCCGGGCCAGTAAAGTGTCGTATTTTACAGCATGTTCTCGCGAAATTGACGCATTTTACACTAGCCCGTCAACATCCCCCGCATGTCCCACCAACATCCCTAGCATCACCCACAAATCGTGTGACGGGGTCAAAGAAATGATGATTCAAGTAGGAGGGCATGTCAATCCCTGTAAAAAAATATAAAAAGTAGCGGGGGGGTTGGGGGGGGCGGCAGCCCCCCCCACGATGTTGTTTGCAGAAGTGATGATTTGAATAGGGGTGCAATTAAATCTCTGCAAAAAGTCTAAAAAGTAGCGGGGGGGTTGGGGGGGGCGGCAGCCCCCCCCCATGATGTTCGAAGAATTGATGATTCAACTAGGGGTGCAATTAATTAAATCTCTGTAGAAAATCTAAACGTAGCGGGGGGGTTGGGGGGGGCGGCAGCCCCCCCATGATGTCGGAAGAAGTGGTGATTCAAGTAGGGGTGCAATGATTCAAGAAAGGGTGTGATAGAATTTACAAGGCAGCGGGAGGGTTGGCGGGGGTGGCTTCCCCTATGATGTTCGAAGAAATGCATACATACAGACATACACGGACTACACAGATTACCTAAAATGTCGTATTTTGCAGCATTTTCTCGCGAAATTGGACGCTCGAAAAAGTGATGATTCAAACAGGGGTGCAATTCAATCTCTGCCGGGCCAGTAAAGTGTCGTATTTTACAGCATGTTCTCGCGAAATAGACGCATTTTACACTAGCCCGTCAACATCCCCCGCATGTCCCACCATGATTCAAGTAGGAGGGCATGTCAATCCCTGTAAAAATACAAAAAGTAGCGGGGGGGTTGGGGGGGGCGGCAGCCCCCCCCCCATGATGGTCGAAGAATTGATGATTCAACTAGGGGTGCAACCCCCCCATGACGTTCGAAGAATTGATGATTCAACTTGGGGTGCAACTAATTAAATCTCTGCAGAAAATCTAAAACGTAGCGGGGGTTGGGGGGGGGCGGCAGCCCCCCCCATGATGTCGGAAAAACGCCACCTGCCGAAGAGGAACTGGGAATGCAGAAGATGCGAAAAGCCAAAAAGCCACCAAAAGCCGCATAAACCAGCAAAAAGCCGAAAAGCCTAGAAGCCCAGAAGCCAAGAAGCCAAGAAGCCGAAAAGCCGAAAAGCCAAGAAGCCAAGAAGCCAAGAAGCCCAGAAGCCGAGAAGCCGAGAAGCCAAGAAGCCAAGAAGCTGAAAAGCCAAGAAGCCAAGAAGCCGAGAAGCCGAGAAGCCAAGAAGCCAAGAAGCCAAGAAGCCAAGAAGCCAAGAAGCCGAAAAGCCGAAAAGCCAAGAAGCCAAGAAGCCAAGAAGCCCAGAAGCCGAGAAGCCGAGAAGCCAAGAAGCCAAGAAGCTGAAAAGCCAAGAAGCCAAGAAGCCGAGAAGCCGAGAAGCCAAGAAGCCAAGAAGCCAAGAAGCCAAGAAGCCAAAAGCGAAACAAATTCAAAAAAAAAAGGGGGGGAAAAAACAAACTAAAATAAATACCCCTTCTACAAGTTGCCCTCAATCGATGAGCCGACTGGAAACATGGCATGCCCACCTCCACGTCTGTGAATCTCCGGTCACCCCAAATTTGCCGGGTGATCTTCTGCGGGTAGCCCACCTGCCGGCGTGGGATGGCCGGACCTCTCGAAGCTTCTCACTCGCCTGATCATTGACATGGAACCATCGAGAAGACCCCTCAAACTCAGCTTTCCTTCTGCGCATTTGGAGGAGTGCAGGAACAAAGCAGCCAACAAATTGCAGCTTCTGCACTTCTCTCAAGGCACCCCACAGTCGCAAACAGCGCCGTCTGGGTGCCACACGTTGTGAGCAGGCTCTGTCTTCTGTATCTTGGTGACAAACCTGCCAGGCAGTCATTGGACTAGAACCCATCCATTTTGAGCGAGGGGGTGGCTGTGCATTCCAGGGGTGCATACCAGGGGTTCCTTGGATCAAACTTCAGCGCTTGCTAGCGTGGTCCCCGAGAATGCACACCCGAACACCAAGATACAGACCCTTTTCGCAGCCCTTGCCGACCAGGAAATACATCCCTTGCAATCATCAGGCAACTTAAATTATTCAAATGGAGCCTACTGCCCAAAGAAAGCTCCTATAGTATCAACCAGCGCACAGGCCAGCAAAAATAGGAACACATGGCCGACACCACACACACACACACAAATACACCAAACCCCAGGCACAAATGCATGATTCATCTTGAATTTGCAGCTGACTTCACATATTTGTGCACCCCTGCTACAATCATGTGAAGCACAACTGGCTAGGCACCAATTGAGCTCGGGTCTGGCATCAAGATGCAAATCAAGTAGCGCGACAACTCATTTGGGTGTGGGTCAAAATTAAACCACTAGGGGACCGCAGGTTTTAGTCCATGTTTCCATTTACAAGGGCAACCCATTTTGGGTACCTTTTCTTTGACCCACGGCCATTCATATTTCCATGTCACCGTTCCAGCTGCCAGGGGTATTGCCCTTGAGGCCGGGCGTGATGATCATTCAACTCAGCAGGATCAGGGATGCTCAAAACAAATGGGTCGCTGTTTGGTTCCTGGTCAAGGGGAACTATCCTGAACCCATGTCACACAAAGTCCTGGGGACAAAAAAAAGAGCACGTATTTAACTAACTTCCACACATGTGGCGATGATTGTTCACCATGGAAGTTCAGGTTTGCCCCACAAGAAACTGATCGCAAATCCCCGCAATCTGCGAACGGATAGCTCAAACAACGATACTCCGGCAATGTTGCCTAGCTTGTTTTGCCGCAAAGTCACTGAGAACCAGAATCCTACTTGATTCCTGGACAGTGCCAGCCACGAGAATACTGTCGTTGAAGGGACGCAAAAGAAATCGAAACCGGGGGTCAATCCTTGTAGTTTTCACAAAGCGTGAGCCCTCTTTGCCCTCAAAGCCAAAGAGATACCTAAAAGGATATTATGGCTGTGGGTCAACACCAATGGTACCATTTTGGGGTGCACCACCCATTTTAGAACCATTTCCTATTTTAATAAGATTGAATCGGATGTTCATTGGGGGTACGATTTGGCTTTTGACCCATGGCCATACAGAACAGCGGAACAGCAAGGTTGTCACCAGGGAAAAAACGATTTCTCCAAAAACCAATGCGCCCAGTCAAAAGACGAAAACACGAGCGTCACACATCTTTGCCAACCGCCTCACGGCCTGCACCACGAGATGATTCTCATCCCCGTGGTTGCTGTGGAACCTTGGAAACGTGGGTTCTCATTGCACCAAAGGCTTCAAGCACCCGCACGGAGCCATGTACCTATCTGGGCTGCCCAAACTGATCCCCCGATAACAGTTTAACTCTTAGTGGGTTAAATGGAAACTACCACTAAACACTGCTAAGGGGACGGCTGGGAACCACCAAGCAATGTCCACAGTCCCTGCTGGAAATGTCCTTTTGATGTTTGTTGACTTCGATGCATTTCGGGTGCGAATGCTGGGCGGCGGACGTAAGTCTCCAAAGGCTGCTCCTGATGGACATGGTCATCTTGTGCACCTGTCGGGCATGCGACGGCCCAACACACTGCTCATTGGGCTGTTGCACAGGCGGGACAAGATGCCGAAGGGGTTCAAAACGACCAACCTCTTTTGTTTCACACCCGACATTTGACAGCTTTCAAGTCGGAACAAAACGCGGAAGTCGACGCGGGATTCACCGGCTTCTGTTTCCGGGCTCGTTGTATTGCGGTTTGGCTTGAGGTTTCAAAAGGCGTACGCAGAACCGAGACTGCATGGAACTTAGCTTGTCTTGTCATTGCCCAGGAAGAGCCGCACAAGTATGTGGGAAACCCGGGCTTATGTTGCGCATTTTACTTGTAGCTGCTTGAGCTGCAAGGTTTACAGAAGCCCGTGGCAGTTTGCTGGAATATTGGCATTCAAAGTCGGTGAGTGCCAGCTGTGCCCCCATTTGGCCCATTTCATATTCGCGCACACGCCTGGCCGGAACATAAGTCTAGGGGTACCTTCCATTTCCATTCTGAAAGCAGGGATCCGAATCTTTCTAGAAAACCTCCGGAAGCTTTGGGAAACTAGCGATCGGTGTTTGAAAAGGACGATGGTTGGAAAGAATGGGGAATCAACCCCAAGAATAAGTGCTAGCTTCAGGGTGGCCATCAATGAAGCAACTACTCACCTTTTCTTGGGGCATCGTTTGTTTCTCTGACCCCTGACTTCGCCAACTTTGGATGGACTGGATCACCTTGTGCCTAAACTATAAGCCCGGCCTCAAGGTGTTCTTTTCTTCATCTTCGCATTTGGCTTCTGAAGCCGGGGGATCAAATCCCAGCCTCAAATCTGAACACATCCCCCAGAAACCAGAAAAATATGATCTGAAAAATCGGCCCCCGGCCAAGTCGTGTCATTGCCCAGCCCATCGAAACTGAGACCCCAGGCGCGTCCCGCGTCCCGCGTCCCGCGTCCCGCCTGCCAGTCAGGCTTCCTTGAGGCAGTCCAGGTGGACAGCTTTTGCCATTCACCGTTGACCTTCGCCGAAAAGCACCGGAGCCAGAATCAAGAAGTACCGGAGTACTAAAATGGTCGTAATCCCAGAATGCTTCAAGAACTAAGAAGGCGGATATCCGCAGCTATTTATGGCCAGGAGATTGTCCCTTACTAACCTTCATCTACCCGGGTTTTGATTGTGGCTCACCTGAGAATTCAGAAAGCTCGGGGATATTCTTGCAAGGGGGTGGCAACTCAAATCAAAGGGCACGTTGCCTTCTTAGGTCCCTTCTAAAGTGCCCTTTTCTTTACGAGGGTCGCAACAAATTCCGCCAACATGGCAAAGTGTTTGTGAGACTTATAGTGGATCTTTCTCAGCCTGCAAATGCACGAATACTCGGAACCGTGCAAACCGTGGAAACATCAACGTGGCTGTCTGCCATGTTCTGAATACCAGGCTGGATACAGGTGAGCAGCGCCCGAAACCCAACATCTACTTAGGCATCACCATCATCTGTATCAAACCAGGTGGTAGAAACCACCTACTAAAATGGCCATTCGGGGTGGGGATTGGGCGCCTCTGCACGTAGGCTCGCATGCGCAGGTTTCCCTTCCTAAGCCATGTAACATGCGTGTGCTCTCTCAGTTTCGTGAAAACCACGCCTTCATCCAACCGCAAACCAGTTAAAACCGGCTTCTTCGCCCAGGCGTGTTCCCTGGCCGAAACTCTGGCGCGCTGGGGGCCGGGCTTTGGCCTCCAAGGCAAGGCCTGAGCTGTCAGTGGATCAGGCTGATGACCTCTGCATCGCTTGAGCTCAATCCTCTATTTGCTTCAGTTTGGTTTCTTCCTCCTGTTGGTTTTTGAAGGGAATCTATCACTACTGGAAATATGTGTATTTGTTCGAAGGGTCTTAACCAAATGGAAGCAATGGGAAATGAGACATTTTGGTGATGCCATGTAGCAGTTTCCCATCCAACCACTACCTACTTTATCACTTCAGGGCCTCGTGGAAACTTGAAGGACCTCCCAAAAACAATTCCAAAAGGAGTAGGCCTCTTGACATCTCTTGGGGTCCTTTCAGACTTCCCCACAAGGGGGAAGAGTGAGTTCTGGTTCGGAGGTTCAACAAACCCTTGCTAGCTGAGCAATTGGTCATTGTTCAAAGGGTGATAAGCTTCAAGTTCAATTCAAAGAGGAGTGCCACGGCCCAAACCGTACCTTGGATGGTTCAAATCTCATGGCCAATCCCACTGTGAAAAGCTGCACCCGACCTATATCTGATGTAAACTGCTCTTCTGTTTGATGCCTGCACCTTTTCAAATATTGTCAGCTGAGCCTGTTGCCGGTACTCAGCAAAAGGTTCCAACTAAACATTGCCCGTTGTTTGGTGATTACAGTCCTGGGAAATTGCTCAAGTATGGCGCCTGTCAATTGCTTGGGAGTAGTACCAGTCGAGATACAAGCGACTCTGTAAGAGTCCTTCTCAACGTGATCTACACTAGTGGCCCATGGAGATGTGCTTCTAGCACTGGCAAACATGCACGGTGAAGTGGAACCCTGCAAGCAAACAAATCTACACTCACATGTGTGAAGCTTCGAAGCTTTCAGAGTTACGTCCTTTGGACTCCTTCTTGCGTGACCCGTTGAATGGGTGTGAATACGGCAAATGGGCACCGAATCGAATGCTACACAAGGCCATGGTTCAAAACCAATGGTAGCATTTTGGGACAGGTGCATCATCCACTTTAGTCTATTTTAGTGGGGATTGTTCACTGGGGGTACGGGCTTCTGACCCATGGCCACATGATTGTCCTTTGGTGCAGGCGATGAGAACCGTTTGAAGCTCCGATTAGAACCCCTTGAGTCCGTGTCTGAGTCGGGGAAGTCCGCCGAGGAACACCACATCAGGATTGAGCTGAGGCTCCTTTTGGGCACGTGTCTTTTTGAGGTTACCCGTTTTTAGGTCGGCCACAAGGTAGATCAAAAGGAAAGCCGCTTTTGATCAGGGTCCTCGTTTTTTTTTACGCATGCACACCTGTCTTGGGCGCAGCCGAGCGTCGCTGGACGCCCATGCCGTCGCCTCGGTCCTGCGGAACTGAGGAATGCAACGATGAGGCTCGGCGCCCTCGCCCGGGCTAAAAACATGGCTGTGGGTCAAAAATGGGGTAACCCCAAAATGGAACCCTGGTAAATGGAACTAAAAAACTAAAAACTGCGGTCCCCTGGTGGTTAAATTTTGACCCATACCCACATAACAAATCGAAAACCGCCATTTTCAGGGCCCCCTAGTTTTGACACATAACCATATCAGCTGGGTTTCCCTGGACATGTGTGGTCGCCTCACACCCCTCGTGTGGCAGCTTAAAGGGCGACCTCGGCAACGAGTCACAATAATACCATTTCCCCATCTATATGGGTAGTTGTGTGTGGAGACCATTCACATGGAGGTGTTTATCTCCGCCGCTTTTCGAGGGCTGTTCCAGAAAGGAATAGAGTTCTAGTTCCTATTGCTCCAAAGAAGACAGCTCATGTTTCAGCGGTCCCCAAAGGTAAACCAGAAAAGGAGGAATTACAGGGAACTCTGGGTCATGGTGGTTCCGTTCACATGGAAGATTCTGATTGACAGATTTCCCCGAAGGAATACCTCCAAACTCCAGACCCCAAGACAACTTGATGGACAGTGGCACTCAGCGGCACATGTTGTTGCCCAAACAACTCGGGGCAAATCTCGGGTAGGTGCTCCGGTTCTTAGTGCAGTGGGGTGGGCCACAATGTTATCCAAACTTGCCACAAAAATGCAGGACCAGCCATTACTATAAGGACCAAGGGGTGCCTTTCAACAGCCCTGAACACTACCAGTCCACACCACGCGAACGTCAGACGCCGTTCGCCGGGAGCCAGAGACCCCCGCAGAAATCTTAGATTCAGGGCTGAGGACCATCCGAAGCAGCAAATCTCTTGACATGCATCGAACACATGTTGGCTTTGGGGGCAAACAATTAGGTCACGGTTGCGCTAGTCGCATGGTGGATTCTAGGCGGCAAAGAGCAACACCGTCAAAAAGCATGCTGTAATAACCAGGCGACCAGCGCAACCGTTACCAACTATGAACCATTTTAAGCAGTAATTCCAGTTCGACCATGCTTGCGGACCCTTTGTGCTCCTCCCCTTTCGAGGGTAGCTAGCCAAGGTGAACCATAAAATCAAGAGTGTGAGAAACAAAATCTGGTGTCACCCATGAGTCGCGCAACCATTTAGCAGGAAGGACAATTTGGGTTGGGATGGCACATGCCTTCAGGTATCTACAGCCCCTTGACCGAGCGCAAAACACCTGGACCTGGAACATGCCGAAGATGGCGCTGTAATTTAGCCATTTACTTCAACCACTGGAGCCAAACGAAGATGCTCATCTGCAACTTCAGTGTAATTAGCCATTTGGCTTCTGCTGCAACAACTGCAGCTAATCCGTGAACTGGACAAATGCGCAAGGTCTCTTCAACATGTGCAACACGTTCCAAATGGTGGCGACTCACCGCCAGTTGAGTGCAGCAGACACCGTTGGCCATGTGAGCCATGTGACATCCAGGAAAACTTCTCAGAGAACAGCTCCGTGAAGAGCCTTCCGCTCCTCTGATTCTTGGGTCTTACAGTCCCACCCCTCTGGCAACAGCCATTTTTGGGGGCCCCTTGACCCGCCTCTTCCGACAGACGGCCTCTAGACGAACCCGCGCTGCGTCACTCCGATCCAGATGCAAGTATTCGTGTGCAAAACCAGAGGCGCGGGGGGGTTGTCTACAAGTATTCATGTCCAAAACCAGAGGCGGGGGGGGGGTTGTCTACAAGGACCCCATCCCGGATCAAGCGGTGCAGGTGTCTTTCTGGGTCCTTCCACTCCACAGCAGCCAAGACATGGCCCTGCTCGAACTCAAAGACAAAGGCCTGCACATCGGTCAATGGGTGAACTCGACATGGGGCGAATCATTTGGCCATGGGTCAAAAGCCAAATTGTACCCCCAGTGAACATCCGATTCAATCCCCACTAACATTGGATCTACAATGGGTGGTGCGCCTACCCCAAAATGGTAGAATTGGTTTTGACCCACAGCCATTTGACTGGTGTCCACTTGCCAGGCGGCCGTGGGCAACAAGAAATGGCGCCTTCCAAATCCTTCTCCTCATGCAATGTAAATGACGGCGCAAGCAAACTCATCGGAGACCTTCGCTTCTTGCTTGGGGCAATGCTTTGGCATGTTTCCCCAATGGAAAAAAGACAAAACAGACGCCACAAGACTTAGTTGCCTGTCTCTCCTGGCCACAACAAACCAAACAAAAGGTCTGAAGCTTCCTGACTAAATATAAACACGCGGCCTCTTGGCTGAATCATATGTGATTTCTGGCAGGGGAACGCAACCCAACCAATGACACATCTTGGCCGTCTAAGAGCAAGCTACTCTTATGATCTCTTTCGACATCAAGTCAGCGAGCTCTAAACGTCGGGCGCAAGACCCACCATGCAACTCTGGGTGGCAAAGAGGGTGGTCAATGACAAGTTAATACCACTTGTCTGTTCCAGGGCTGGGCAACAATGTTCATAAACAACACAAAAAACAACCAGTGGTCCCCAATTTAAAGAATATCCACAACTAGCTCATGATTCAGGAGTCAGCAGATTTGTCTTTTAGAAGTATCCCAACATACTGTGACTAGCGTGCTTCAGTCGTGAATATAGAACCACAGATGGACCCTTTGCCGGGAATGAGTGGTGTCCAACCATGCATGTTTCTCCTACTGAGATCAAACAAGAACACAACATCCACCGGCCCATGCCCGGAAACAACTCAGAATCCCCCAGATCATGTTTTGGGTCGGAGTTGTTTCGCCTAAGAATCCCCAGTGACTTGGAAACAACCATAGGCAGCCGAAGCAACTCATCACCTCACCCCCAAGACGCCCGCCGCCGCCTGGTCCCGGGTCTGCCCAGGCAAGGAGGCCCAATATTCCATGGACCTGGCGGCTCTCAAAACGGCAAGTGGTCCGGTGGCTCCGGATGTGATCCAAAAGCAGTGGGTAGCTTGGTGGCCCGTTTTTGCCGAGGAAAGGAAACAAATCGGACACCACTGACACCACGCACAAGCCCAAAAATTGTCCAAAAAGTGGTCCAACTTGCCCATACCGTTTTTGGTCGCCCACCACACAACCCCCGTTTTTGGTCAAATGGTCACAGCAGTTTCTTGGGTGTCAAATGAGTTGTGGGTCTAGCCTCGGACAATCTGGTAGTTTTGTGCATTGAAAGCAGCAGCGGAATAAAGAAAAACAAACACAACATAAACAAGAAAGCGAAGGGACACCACAAGGACACAAAAGTATCCTTATCAGGACCTACATCAATAAGCCCGGCCCTCTCCCTGTTGGCTCGTACCCAAATGCCACAGTAGCCAATCCAAGGTGTCTTCTGAAGCATACAAAGGAGCTTCCCTACGTTCGGTCACAAACAGTTGGGAAGCAACATCGAGTTCGCCTGTTCCAGCCAGGGGTCCGGGACCCTTTGGTGGACATCAGTTCTGTGGGAATTCATGTCCCCCAACCACTTTCCAGGCGGTTCCCCATTTAAATTCAGTGCCATGCGAGTTCAAAACGGTCGTGATTTTGACCCAAAGTCCCATTTACTTATCAATGGTGGTGCTTGCCTTTCTTCCATGGAACCCTCCCTGATTCACAGCTCGAAGGGGGTTCACATTCGTTGGAACGGCACAAATATCGTGAGAAAGTAGCTGCAAGCTTCTAGGCTTGCACGTAGGCAAGGAGTGCATAGCACGTCTCCGTCAGCAGAAGCAACCACAAAGACGAAGATTGACACAAGAGACAAACATCAGACACAATTTGTCTGCAAGCACGGCCTACCTCCCAGCTTGCATTAGAAATCTCAATGCAAATAAGGATGGAGCAGCGCTGCACCGCGAATCCCATTTCAGCAGTGGGTGAGTCGGTCATCAAGGAACAAAACAGCAATACATCATTCACCAACAGTATTCTTAGTGTAATATCCTTTCCCAAATGGATGCCATCCAATCCTTCACCACACTTCATGGTTCTTGCCTCAGTCATGACCTTAAATGAAGCTGTAGTCATGCGATCCCATTCATGCGCAAAAAACCAACGCACAAGCGCGCCAGGTGGGCCCGGCATTGATGAGGTGGCAAGCCTCGTGGTTCATGTAGTGTCCTCGCACATAAATGCTTCTCCAAGCGGTCCCCTGTCCGTGTCTGTCTCTCTCTCTCTCTTTTTATCTCTCTCTCTCTCTCTCTCTCTGCTCTCTCTCCCTCTATATGTCTCTCTCTCCCTCTCTCTTTCTCGCTCTCTTGCGCTGTTGAAACAAGCCGCCCAATGGGATGCACCAAATGTGAGGCATTACGGAGCCAAAGAATGTGAACACGTTCCTTGCATATTAGCATGGTCTTCAAGCATGGTGCAAACTGCATCGTCCCAGCCACCATGTGGCAGAGACTTCACCCGTCTCATTCAAAGCATCGACCATGTTTCAGCCAATCTGCCGCGTCACGGCGCCAAATTGGCTCGTGTTGAACTTTGAACATGTGGACATGAGGGGAGTCTTGAGAAGATGCGCGGAAAGGAGACAGCCGGGTACCCAGGTGGTGAGGCCATGCCACACGCTGGAGTCCTGGGTGAGATGCGATCTTGACATTCGCCGCCACGTAGTGGTCATCGCTGTAGTCGCTGTAGTCCGTCTGAGAGGTTGAAACAAATGAGGGGTATCCCAAATTGGTTGGACCCTTCTTTTGGAGGGCTTGAAAGGGAAACCAAAAAGAAGCCCAGCATTTTTGGGGGCCCCTGCAGGACAAGCATGTGAAGTTGGTGCTCAACCACTTGTTCAAATCTGTTTAGTGTTCGAAGGGCAGGATTGAGGCACATCTGCCGTCCATTGCTTAGTCAAACAGTGGTTTTTGCCAGCCAGGACCGTGCTCCCAGACATGTGATTCTGATTGACCGGTTCAATAACCCTGGGAGTCCAAGGTAGACAACATGCAACATCATTGGCAAGAAAGCACCAACGACTGATACCTGTCGAAGCTGCAGCGTGACCTTGGTCAGTACTCAACAACATTACTCAGATATGCAAGTGGCACTTGAAGGAAGGTATAGAATTGTTGCCAGCAAATAGCTGGGCAATGCTGGGCAATGCAACGCCAAGGTAGGCCGCCTACAAACGACGCCCAAAAAAGGGCTGGATGTGTCTTCTCATGTCAAGCACGCTCTGGTCCTGCAAGCACTTTCAAGGTACTATGATGGGCTATGACTACACATGCTTGCGGAGAGTGGTTGACACCGACCGGAAGCCGTGGATGAGTCGCTTTGCAACGACTTTGCCACGCAGTGAAAAGGACAGGAAAAACGTCGCCCTTGTTCGGCTGCTCAAATTGAGCGGGGGAACCAACCGGGGAAGGCGGCGGCAACTCAAGGCCTCCGGATATCTTCTGTCTGATGGCTTCTGTTGCACATGGGGAAAGAAGACCCTGGGGAAATGACCCGAACTACTCCAACAAATCATAGATCTCTAATCCGTAATCCGGCGTGGGGCACCTGGAAATCACACAAAACATATCAGGCTCCCTTTCATATTTCGTGTACCTCAGCATACACAAATAGTCTTGCAGGAGACCCCAGTAGTTTGGAACAAAAATGAGACATTTCCCCGCAAGTGCCCAGGGATTTCGAAGAAGCTTCCGATTTCGCCCAGGCGCTGGGACGGAGGAGCTATCTCGGCCTCGCGGGCTAGGGATGCATCTTGCAATCCTCAGGGCCCTCCGAACTAGGGAGTCAGGACATGGCACAATCACATCTTCAACTCTTGGTTGACCTTGGAAGGGGAGCAAAAATTTAAATTTTAGCAGCTAAGTGGGGAGTTCAACCACTAAACCACGATAAGCGAAAATGTAAAATGTTTCCCAACAACAACCATGAACTGGGGACCTACGGATGTGCACTATACCTTAATTACCAAGCACTTTGGCATCCACTCAACTGGGGATGTGATTTAGACAAGATTTAGGACATGGGAAACTCACATCTTCTGGGGATCTACAAAGAGAGGTGCGATATGCCTTTAAACCAATCACGTTGATCCATTGGTGTAATTTACAAATGCCCGGTACATGCCTGTAAGTTTGTAGGTAATGCTGGTATGCCCGTGTAGATGTGTGTGTGTGTGCGTGGGTGCGTGTGTGTGTGTGTGTGTGTGTGTGTGTGTGTGTGTGTGTGTGCTAGTGTTATATGCGTGTGTTCGCAAACTATGCACACACACATAAGTTCAAACACAAATATGTGTCATGCGCCAACTAGCCGAAAAGGTTCTTGTCCGCCTCCCCCTACTGTCCACAATCACGGACGTGTGTGTGTGTGTGTGTGTGTGTGTGTGTTTGGCTGCTCGCTCGCTCGCTCGCTTTCATTCTTTCTTTCTTGTTTTGTTTGTTCGCGTGCTTCCTTGCTCGTTTGATTGTTTGGTTGGCATGTGTGTGATGTGTGGTTTGTTTATTTTGCTTGGTGTGGTTGATTGTTTTGGTACTGTTGTGGTTTGACATGTTTCTGTCTGCTGTGTCTTGTGTTGTGTGTTGTTTGTGTCCTGCTGCAGTGTTGTGTTGTTTGCGTGTCTGTCGGTCTATGTTTTGCTGCTTGTTTGCTTCCTTGACTGCTTGTTTGTTTGGTCGTTTGTCTGAGTTGATGGTGCTTCTTTATTTGATGTTTTCCGCTTTGCTTCTTTGTGTTTGTTCCTTTTACCTGTAGTTTGGCGTGCCTGCCTTCAACCACAGACACCCTGGGAGAGTTGCATTGTCAAGTTGGCATGACACATGTTGTGACGTGTTTCCATTGACAATATATATATAAACATACATGTATTGCAACCTGCCTAGAACTTTACTGTGTTGCTGTCAAAGCAGCAACTGAGCCATCGGTGTTCATATTGGCCAGGCCTTCCAATCTCCCCTTTGGAGTCCCGTTAAGTCGCTGTCTGGCTTGCCATGTTGGCCCAGGAAACCGCACGGCGTGCGTTTTCTTCGAAGCCGCGGGGAACTGAAACTTTTGATCCGGGCCAACTTGCACGGATTAGCCGACATTCCAGCTGCAACCTGCCCATTCTGTTCAGGGATCCTTTTCAGACAATAGCCCAAGACCAAGAAACAAAGAAGACATGCAGGGTATGGGTGTGCAGCACAATGCCCCTTCCGCTGCGCCCTAGGACATAGCAATTGTTGTCGGGAGCATACCGAGCTGAGTGAAAACCAACGAACAAGTGCGTAGAGACCTCACAACAACAAAACCACAGGGCCTGCAACAGAGCAACTCCACCATTGTAGCATGTGGCACTTGCGGCTGACCAAAGCAACCTTGCAGAAAGCGTGAATGGCTGGCGTAGCAAGCTCAACTTCAGGCTTTTCTTTTCGAGCGATCACGGGCGAGTTGCATAAAAGCGCGCCTGGATGATCAAAGTGATTTAGGCTGCCCTTTGGAGTTGGCTTTTTTCTATCCAACTTCCCAACCTTGCCAACAAACCAAACAGCCAAGCAGCCAAGCAACCAAGCAACCAGCCAAGCAAGCAACCAAGCAAGCAACCAAGCAAGCAACCAACCAAGCAGCAACCAAGCAACCAAGCAGCCAAGCAACCAAGCAGCAACCAATCAACCAAACAAGGCAAGCAACCAAGCAAGCGGCCAAGCAAAGCAACCAAGCAACTAAGCAACTAAGAAATCAAGCAACCAACCAACCGAGCACAAAAGAAGCCAATCAAGCAACCAAGCAAGCAATCAAGCAAGCAAGCAGGCAAACAAGCTAACCGGTCAGCCAGGCACAAAACCGGCCGACTCACCGGTCGACCAACGAAGCCCAACAAAAATGTGAAGCAAATTTGCCAACAATCCTTGCCAAACTTTCCAAGTAGGCAACCAAGCAACCAAGCCACAGCCAGCACAAGACTGAACCAAACAAATCAAGCATCGCCAACCAAAACCAGCCGAAACCAACCCAAACCAACCAAAACCAACCAGAACCAACCAGAAACCTTCCAACATCTTCCACCCTTCCGACCCTCCAGCCACCCCGCCTGGCGTTGCCCGCCAGTCCCCTCGATCAGAGCGCATGGAGTCAGAGGCCCTCCGCGACCTAAACGAGCGCGCAGCTAAGATAATTTCATCCGCTTTCGGCTTTCGGATGCAAAAAAACAATTGGCCATGGGTCAACACCCCATACCCCCAGTGAACACCCCAATCCCTACTAAAATGGATAAAAATGGGTGGTGCACCTACCCCAAAATGGTACAATTGGCCTTGACCCACTGCCTAATGGAAAACACGCCCAAAAGGTGCGGCAAACAGAAAGACTCATCACTCATCAAACGACATTCAAAGCTCTGGAAAAAGAAATACTCCCCTGTTGGTTTACCCGCACGCTGCGAGGCCCTGACAGACAAAGACTCGGAACCCTTTGGGCTGAATCCATGTTAAAAGGGGAACCAAGAAACAAAAAGGATGGGGGAACACTGTTGGCATGTGTAGTACCCAGTCCAACAGTCCAATCCGGGTATCTCACAAGGAGCTCGATCCGGAAAAAAGTCCAAATGAGCCATGTCCTAAACGTGTCATGATTTGCAAAATCACTTTGCTTGCGCTACCAGCTTACGCCACCTTACAAAAACGCGTGGGGAGATTTGGCTTACTCACAGGTCGATATGACACGACTCTTGCTAAACATGTACACGGAGGTTTTGGACACAGCTCAAATGATCTAGGCCGGGGGTGCCTGGGCAAAACTGTTCACCAACCTGAAGTACGCAATGAACCCCCAAAAGGAACCTGAGTTGCGAACCCCTCCGGCTCCTTGCCCAGATTTCTCCAGAAAGGAGGCACAGGCCATTTTGGCGCAGGGTGTTGCTTCAAAACTGGTACTGGGCGCCATTGGGTGCAAACGGCGAAAACTGGCGAAAGGGAAAGCAATCTCCTGGACAGCCTGTACAGCCAAACCCACGGCGCGAGCTGCGAACACATTTGGCCGCCCCCGAAACTCGCCCTGGTTGCTGCTCAATGCCAAGGTGGGGTTCCGTTCTCCATGGAAATCCGTGGCCAAGGTCGCAATGAACTCTTCGTGATCCCCAAATATTCATTTCCCATGGACGAAGCGATGGTTTTAGATGGCAAGCCTCGACAAAATAAATCATAAGTGTGGGCCCCATGCAAATGAATCAACATAGTCAGTAGGAACAAACAAAGCACAAACATAATTCCAGCAACTCCGAAACTGGAATAAGCAAACCCCGGGTGAGCTCGTTTTACCCTCAGGCCCCTGCGGCTATCTTTAGCCCAACATGGGCAACTCATCATGGACCTTCTGTTGGGATTAGATTCAACCAGGAAACCAACACAATGTCAAGCCTGGAATCCACCTAGGCTTGAAATTGCCGAGGTGCTCCTTAAAACAATTAAAAACAAAAATGGGGGGAAAAAAACAAAAAACATGCCCTCCAACATGGAAGACCTCCGCCCCCAACCGCCTCCCGTGAGAAACTGGCACTCCGTTCCGACCGATTCGAGCTGAAGGCGCTCGGGGCCCCAGGTGGACAGCCAGTCGTAGGTGTTCTGCGACTCCGAGCGGTGCATGGCACGCGGGACACGCGGCCCGGGCAAAAAGGAACACGGTCAAATCAGTATGTGTTTTTTTTGTCAAAAGTAGGGTAACCCCCAAATGGAACCCTGGCAAGTAAACATGTGGCTGTGGGTGAAAAATAGGGTAACCCATATGGAACCCTGGCAAGTGGAAACATGGACCAAAACCTGTGGTCCCCTGGTGGTTTCATGTTGACCCATACCCATGTGGGCTGGAGGTTCGGCTGTGGCCGCTACGGCCGCGACTTGCTCAAAAGGGTGAGAAAAACTGCGCAAAGAACCGCGTGTTGGAGGGTTTGAAGGCGGACTTTGGCAAGACTGGCGCCGGTATGCTAAGTGCTCAGGTGCTCCACATGAGGCTGTGCCATGTTGATTTTGCTTTTTTGTTGCTGGGGGCCGGGGCTGAGAATTGCTGCTTGGGGAGCAACTAAAAACAACCATGCTTCATGTACATCCCTTGCATTTCAAATGGGACACCAAACCAACAAAAAAGTCGATGTCACTACACTGGCAGCTCGCTCTGATCCATCGTGAGCACTCGGCAATTTGCAAGCTCTCCGCTCCAATGGGGCGAGTCTCTGCAAGCAAACCTGCTAACTTCATATGTGGCCTCTTCTCGAACTACAGTACGGCAGCCCCAACAGTAACTCCCTGATTCTTCCCCAAAAAAAAAACATGTTGTGATTGTGTGTGTGTGTGCGCGCGTGCGCGCGTGCGTGCGTGCGTGCGTGCGTGCCTGCCTGCGTGCCTGCGTGCCTGCGTGCGTGCGTGCGTGCGTGCGTGTGTCTGTGTCTCTGTGCTTCTGTGTGTCTTGGTCTTGGTCTGGTCTGGGTGTCTGTCTGTGTGTTTGCTTGTGACTGCCATCAAGTACACTCAACGAATCAACTCTCGTTACCCCTCCTTTCCTCGCTTCCTCTCCAAACGGGAGAAAAACGAGGTGTGGTTTGCTTTTAGTTGGGAAACACACAAAACAACAGCACAAGGTCTGAACCTCAAAAACACCTGGAGCCTTGCGGCGGCCACATTGGGTAGACCGCCCCCCTTGGGCGTGCGTCACAGCCTAGTTGCTCCCCTTGGTGTTGGGAACCAAGATGCCTAATCACGGTTCCAAGTCTGGGGGGTCAAAGTTGGACCCTTAGCCTGACATCGTAGCCCCCCTCCGGTTGGTCTCTAGTCCAGCGCCAAACACGAGGCCTGATCCTTGGGCAGTAAAACCAGGCCCAGAACAAAAAGCCCTTTTGTTTCACTGCAAGCTGAGTTGCCACTCAGGGTTGAGCCCTGAACCAAGGGGTAGGAGCCCCGCACCCAAAACTGCCAAAGATCCTTTGCCGGAGAAACAAACAAACAAACATGGCCGACTGATGCCGACTGAAGTTTCCGGAACCAAAAACTGGTCATGTACCACCGCGGGATGGCCCGGGGTCATGGAGACATATGGCCATGGGTCAAAATCCCGTACCCCCAATAAACATCCCATTCCCCACTAAAGTAGGTTCTAAAATGGGTGGTGCACCTACCCCGGAATGGTACCGTTGGTTTTGATCCACAGCTATGGTTGCTTCTGGAAATCCTCGTGCATGTTGCGGGAACGCAGTCATCTTTTCTCGGTTGCTTTCTGCTCCCCTGCTAAAAGTTTAACGTAATGGAAAACCCATTAGTTGGCAAAAAGCTAAAGTCCTAACATCCCTTGGCAACATGCACCAAAGTTTTCCCGCAGGTCGCCCGCGGGCTGCAGGCCTTTTCGCGCATAACGGTGCAAACCGCCCGATCGGAGCGAGCGAATTGACGTGGCTGGAGCCCAAGTCGTAGTGGTGCCAGCAACATGTAGCGACTCAGGCGGGCGCAAAAACCCAAGGAACACCACATGGGTGTGGGTCAAATATAGGGTAAGCCCAAAATGGATCCCTGGTAAATGGAAACATGGACAACCTGCGGTCCCTTGGTGGTTTAATTTTGACCCATACCCACATCTGGATAGCTTACTTTCTGAAGCACCAAATGTAGGCCCTAACTGTTCGGACGGTGTAAAGAGGAAGCCAACTAAAGCTATGGCCCAAGCAAGTCATGCGTTTTGCAACGGACATATTCCCAGCTTGCAACCTCCCCGAAATATGTCTGCCCGCTCCGCCGCTCGGTCTTCTACGACACTGCTCTTATCATGCATGGCACGGCTTAGCCGTTGCAATGAGCACCCGGGATCGAATTCGTCTCCTTTGGAAACACCCAGCACTGCCCTTTGGACGACACGCCCAAGTGACAAGCTGATTTGTCCCGCGGAATTCTGGACGCTGGCAGGGCTGTCGGGGCTTGTCGAACAGCTTGCGATTTCATTAGTGGCAGTCGATGGTTTGTCGCAGGCATACCGAGTTTCCCTGATTCTGACCAAGATGTATGACAAACTCAGACGTGGCGGTGCTGAATAATTGCTCCAAATATGGATAAGGGCTGTATGCAAGATTCTAGGCGGCCATTGACTAGGCCACAATGACCGAGGATTGCAAGATGCTGACGGGGTCTGATAAACAATGCAACTGGGGGCCATGGGGAAAAGGAGCTAGGGCCGTTTACTTGTTTGGTCAGCTTCTGCCAGCAAACCATAGAACAAGGTCATCTTGATACCCCCAAAACCTGCACCAAGCATGAAAGCGTCTACGCGCCACAAGATGGAGCCCTGAGAGGCACCCTGCCATCAACGTGCAAAGGCTGGTAGCCCAATTTCAAAAGAACAGGAGAGCTGCCCAGGCCGGCGGTGGAGCGAACCCTCTCGGAATGTGACGGAGTCGCCCAGAAAACCCGGTTAGACCGTGTGACACGGGGGCCAATAGACTGCGACTGATGGCCATGCTTCATCAAAAGCGACTTCGCCAGCTCTTGCCAGGGGTTCGCCGGATGACGTCATCTTCTGGTCAGCGGGCCTATCCCTTCAAACATGTCCTGATACGGTCATGACCAACAAAAACAACACCCCAAATCCAATTGAAACTAGTAGTGCCTTCAGAATCTGCTTACCCCACTCCACCCAGCCCAAGCATTCTCGTGGCGGCCGTTGGCCTGCGCATCGCGCTGCCAGGAACCTCTGCCTTCGTCCACCTCAGCAGCGCTGAGCTGCACTTGCGGGGACCTTTGCAAATCACGAGTTACTACTAAATCTTTGGGTACCAACTTCTTTCTTCTCGGTAGTCGGTTTTAGTAGGGGAACCCTCCCCCAAAAAAGTTATTCTTGTTGCTGTTGCTGCTGCCGTTCTTGTTGCTGACCCGGCTGACCCTTCTGCTGCTCCCGCTGCCGCGGCTTTGATCGTTGTTCTGCAGTGTTTGCTTATCAGAATTGCCTGGCAAGACCCCCAAGGAGCTCCCAACCTTGTCCCTCCCTCTCTCTTTCTCTCTCTATCTCTCTCTCTCTCTCTCTCTCCAGAAGTGCGTAGGTGCCTGTCTCTATGTTTCAGGATTTGTGCACTGAATCCCCTCTTCGTAGTCAGTTTCAGCACCCCCGCCTCAACGTTCAATATGATACGCCCTTTGCTAAGCAGGGGCAACATCCAAAAGGCAAAAGGAAGGGTTGAAAAGCAAACTAGAGATTTGCCATCCGTGGTTCAAAGGCAGCAACAAGCCGCTTTCAAACTCTTCTTCCGCCCATGAACGGCGTAAAGCTTCCAGGAGTAGGCATGAGGGTGTCTTCTTGGGGGTTCCTCCGAGCAATGAAGCCAGGGGCCCTGGGAACAGATATATAATCCAGGCTTAAGCGTCTCGAATATTGTCAGAAACTAAGCACATCACAAATAGAACTTTTTGTCAGAATGAGGGCTAAGGGAATCCCCATATCACTGGTATTGAAAAGAAGAGCAGTCAATTGGTAGACTGTGGAGAAAGCCACAATCTAGCACCTCGATTCAGGCTCGCCACGCCACATACACATAAAGCCCACCGCCTCGCAGTCCAGTCTGTATGTGCTCACTAACATGCGTGTTGCCTTCTTATTCGCGGCTGGCTCCTTGCCAGGGGTTGTAGGGCACCCCTCCAGCTCAGTTTTGCTTCTACAGCTGGGAGCCGGGTCCCAACTGGTCACATTGGGGGAATCGTCACCCTGTACATGCGAAGTTGAGCCCTGGCCTACACAGGCTCCGGAATCAGCAGCAGAAGCAGCACTCTCGCAGGTTGTCCTGCTCGGAAAACATACTTGACCCGGGTATGAGCAAACGAGCTCCCTTGTGGAAGCCTCTTACCAACTTGAAATCAAGCCCAAGTCCAGCTCTTCCGTCACTTTGAAGGCCTCACTCGGAACATCGACCCCAACCCAGAAGTGAACAGCAGTGAAGCAACAGTCTTCAATAAGAAGAAGAAAGGTTTGCCTATTGCGATGCAAACACGTTGTCAAAGCTGGGCGGCTTTCCAGCTCTTCCCAGTTTCACACCTGCTCGCCTTTACAATATCATCATGTTTTCAAAACAGCGTCAACATTGAACTTGCCAAGCCTGCCACAGGAGATGCAATCCTACTCTGTGACCAAATCAGGGTGTGTTTTCCACACAGGCCGAAGAGGGCAAAACATTCGCTCTCCTGACACAATTGTTGTGCTTTGGAAACTCCAACGTCTCAGTGATACAGGGGCAAATGCCCGCAAATGGCTGCCAGGCGCCTGCAGACAAGTTGCAAACACCAATGAACAGTGCCTAAACCCTCAAACACATGCCACAAATGGCCCTAAGGAGAATCGATTGTGGAAACTAAGCCTTGCAATACCAAACTGGGCCATATGACTTAGACTTTCTCACACAGGCGCTTCCTTTACAGACTCTGGCCCCCATGTCCAGCGGGAGGATCCCTCAACTTTGGAGAAAACTCCCAGCCCGCCTTGCGTCGTGCGAGCTGAATCTTGCACTCCTGGCACCGGAGTGGCGAGTGGCTCGCTCCCCATGTCCGGTGCAAAGCCCTGAGACCTGCAACTGGGCAAAACACACACACACACACACAAAAACCAAAAACAAACAGGGAACACACAACACATACACATGTTGAAGTTGAAGAGGGTGACAAAGTTGCAACAGGCAAGTGTCCACTGTTTCAGGAGCCTAAATGTCATGATTTCTTTGCCAGTCATGAGCATGTGATTCTACAAACCAACAGGAAAACATGAACAAACAGCACCTTCAGCAACCGAAAAGGATATATATATATATATATATATACACATGTATTATTCTATTGTGTAGATATTCTAGAAGCCTGTGAATCGGCCACAAAGGGAACCCAATTGACTTGGCCCGCGTCTGGGGTACACAGAAAAAAAACACCTTTCTTGACTCTGTTCCATCCGTGTAGTCGACCGCAACTTGGACGTAAAATGTAAAGTAGTTTCGGAGGAGACCCCAATCACAATGCATCGTGGACTCCCATGACCTAAGAACCCCAGCCTCATCCGAAACCTAGGCTGGAATTAGGACCCCAGCAAAGAATTATATTTTTGTTGCCTGGTTAGTGAAAAACAAAGGGACCCAAAAAAACAAACAAATAAAAAAAAGAAAAAAGGAAGCCGATTCTGGGGGAGAAACCTGCCCTTCCCAAACCAAACCGCGCCCGCTTGATGCCATAGAACTCCAAGGTGTGGCTGTCGTCCAGGATCTGCGCGCGGTAGCTGAGCTGCTGCTCGTGCGGCGACAGCCCTGGCGGTCGAGTGCGCGCCTCTGTGTTGTTGTTTTTCAGTTGTGGCACGAAGATTTGTGCACCAAAAGTGCGCCTCGTGTTTCTTCTTCCTCTGTTTGTCTTTGAAGAGGCCCACGAAATGGGTGGGATCCATCTGGTGTCCCTTCAAAGCCCACCCTTTTGGGGTGCCGAGGTTCCAATTGGGGACATCCCTGACACAGCCGGCATTTCAGCTACTTGACGTGTTGTTTTTTGTTGCCCTAAGCCCGCACACTCTGTTCAGCGACAGGTTTCATCATGATAAGCTCGTTTTACCCCAGGTGAGCTCGACCTTTATAACAAACATATAGTGTTTTGTTCCGCTTAAAGCTCGACTCTCTGGAACAGTGGATGAACAAGGTGATGCTTAAGACCCTTCCTAAGAAGTTGATCAGGGTGGCTTTCAACATGGCACCAGACGCCGCAACAACCGCCGAGTGCGGAGTGCCCCATCGCAAACCTTTCTCGTGCGCTACCTCTTAACCTTGTGTAAGGCAAAACACGGCGATGGGACCTGCCTGCGCAGGTTCTTTTCGAACAGACACGGACTGCCCATGGCGTTCCCCACCAGAATTATTCGCCTTTGCAGCGCCTCCGCGGCATAAGGAGAGTTCCCAACCGAATTAAGCAAACCAACTCTGCTCAACTGAGCAATACTCTAGCTGCAATCTGAACTAGTCGGAATCGGGTCGCTGAAACCGTCGAACCCCTTGAAGCGCGTTGCCTTTTGCTTGAGATGCAGTTTTGGGGAAATGGGCAATCATTTGTGACAAGCTGGGGGTATGGGTGGAGCTGGATGAGAGTGCGAGAGGCGCCCACCCGCGCATGGTTCACGGCAGGTCCAATCCCCGCAAAGGAAAGTCGTTGTCACATCCTCTCAGCTTTCATGGCTGGCAAGTTTCATCTCCCCTTGGGTGGATGACTGGAATTGAAGGGGGGCGCTCATCATAGCCATTCCGTAGGCTGAAAAATTGGAAGAGGGGTTCTGGGCTGCCAAGGAAGCCAAGGAACAGCAACCAGAGCCTTCTCTTTTGGACAGACTTGGCCGGAGACCCGGAAAATCACCCATGCCTGTTCTGTCGCTGATGGCCGTCTTCACATCTGCCACCGTGCGGTCCGCGCAGGCGCCGTCCACGCGGAAAGAGGCTCCTCGATTTGCAGTTGGGAGCAGGACAAATTGACATGACACCGGAGTGAACCCGCCGGAAAAGACGTGCGCCATCTTCCCGCAAAGCCTTCCTGTGTGCGGTATTGAAATTTTCGGGGAAGTAGCCAATGAGTCCAACTATTTTGCTCGGACGTGGAAAGACAAGGTGCACGTTGTGATCCAGGCGGGAAAGGTCAAGCGCCAGGTGTTGGACAGTTTCCGGTGCGAGAACTAGGGTTCGATTTGGTCCGTGTCCAAAGGGAAGCCAGCTTTCTGAAGGGGGACAACGATTTGACACAGGCACACAAACAAACAAACAAACAAACAAGCAAGCAAGCAGGCAAGCAAGCAAACAAGCAAGCAAACAAGCAAGCACGCAAACAAGCAAGCACGCAAGCAAGCAAGCAAATGTGAATCGCAACTGACAGCTGCGAGTCTACGAGTAATACACTTGCAATGGCCTAGTCTTGGATTCACCGCAATCGTTACTCTTGATAAGTAAATTATGTCTGACTCTGTTGACGAACATGTGTTTCAGGAGTCAAATTGCTGACCCTTGCAACTTGTCACCGGCCAGCCTCAAGTTGAGGGCTGGGACACGTGATGCACCTGTAAATGAAAAACAAACTGGTGCTTGTGTTTCGCGCCACACTTGATATATCACATTTTGCTCAGCTGAGAAATCATCGGGCGCAGCAGGACTCAGGCGTCTTGCTCAAAGGGAGGAATCTATTCCGAGGTGTTTTTCCGGCACAACTCACGCACGACTCCGAATCCCACCCGGTTTGGGGCGTCAGTCCCTAGGGATGGCTCTGTCATGACCACAAGCCTCTCAACATGGATTTTTGGCCTTCAGGGAGAACAAGCACTTCCTTCTAAATGGAACACCAAACGGGAGGCAACTCCTTTGACCCAAGAACCCAAGGGAAGGTTAACCCTGTGAACGGCCACAGGTCGAGCGCCGCAGTGCCAGGTCCTTCATCCGTTTCCACGATGAACTGGCCACAGCCCTTGAGGCGCAAGATCAGCGCCACCTGCCGAGCGATCCCCGGATTGCTGTCCTCAAATAGAAACCGGCCCCCTGTCCGTTAGGAATCAAAGGGAGGTCCTTAAAGAGAAGGGGAACTTCAGCATGTGCAACGAAAACCCCATATTTGAGGAAAAAAGAAGTTGTCACGAAGCGGAACCCTTCGGGGATGGATAGGGAAGCCCAAAGACTACCCTCTGGAAGGGGATTCGGATTCCTGGACCGAGATCAAGCCACTCGCTGGCATCGCCTCACCCTCTGCCGCGGTACTTTTGTTCGGCCACTAGATACCCTTTCAATATCAAGTGGATTCTCGCAAGAACACTGGGTGAAACCAAGGTAAACTCTCAGCTTTCACGATTGTTGGGGAGGTAGGACACTCCTGCGCCTTTCATGGATTTCAGCGATTCCATCTGGTGCTCCAAAACGACGTGCAGATCGCGCCTGGTCGCCAGACTGGACCTCCATCTCCTGCAACGTGCGGCCGTCCTCCAGTGGCTTCCCTGCGGAAGCGAGAGGCGACGCCAGTGTCGGAAAACAAAAACGGAATGGGGCACAAAGATGTGGCTGTGGTTGTCACAACCAATGGTACCAGTTTGGGGTAGGTGAATTCACCACCCATTTTAGAACCTATTTTAGGGGGGATTGGGATGTTCACTGGGGGAACATAGGGTAAATATTGGGGAAGCCAGTTGCAAATGAGGTAAAGTAAACAAACTGGGCCATGGGTTTGTCTAGCCAAATCAAGACAACACCAATTGCGAACCACTCTAGACATGTATGTTGACCTCAATGTTTTACATACTTGCCTCCGATTTCTTAATCAGAACTTCATTTCGGGAAGCGCAGGGACGGGGGGGTGGATCCTCTCGCGTCCCAAATGGTAGCGTTCTGCCGCGCAAGCCTCAGGCCACGAGTTTGAGAGGCTCAATAAGCCAAGGGGAAGCTATGAAATTCTTCGACTGTTCCTCGTCTCACTTGCCCAAAGAACACAGAAATAAAAGGTTAACCTTTTGGGGCCATGACTAAAACTAGACCAAAAAGGAGAAACCAAAAGGTCAAAAGGTCGGCTTTGGGCAACTGAGTCGTATCTTTCAAACATAGGCAAACCTTGAGGACCACATCAGGCCTCTGGTGCCATGCCTCACTGCCAAAGCGTCTGTGTGAACAAACGCCAGCAAGCACATCATGGCATTCATGACAACCCAGGAAGATGCCCCAAAAAAGGACACAAGCTTCTTGCAAATCCGAAAGCAAACCCAAACACCGGCAAGCGCATCATGAAATCAACATGTTCTACTTGGGCCACCCCCGGAAACTTCTCTGGCTCACAGCTGTGCCTCTGCACACAAAGAGCATCTGCTCCATTGGGATGGACATCTTCTCGTTCACGAACATCTTGAGCTCTGTCACAGTGTCCTATATGGTCAGTCAATGGGCAGGTGGCCAAATTCAGATGCGGATCCCATGGGTGGTGCCCGTTTTGGCGCCCAAACAAAGAGAACACAAACCCATGTGGATGGTCATGGCTTCTCTTACCATCACAGTACTTGTCTACTGTGAGTCATCAAGGCATCCACGGCCCAACCCCAATCTAACGTGTCGTTTGATCTTACCCGGTTTCCCTCCTTTTCCGCGAGCCCATTGACCAAAAGGTCGCGACAAAAGTTGATGCTTGGCAGCCCGAAATGCTACCCCCGGAGAAACAAACGCCTGGTTGATTCATAGTGGGTGCCCCCCTTTAGTGCGAATCCTTCCACTTTTGCGTAGTAGGATGGGTTGACGAATTCGGGGGTCCCACTACTCCACAACCAAAAAAGTCACCTAGTCTGACGTGCCTACTGGGTCTCTCCTTTCCCCATGGAAAGAAGGGGCAAAGGAAAACCCAGCCCGCGCAATGAAAAGTCAAAAACTGGAGCTTTAGGACCGCCTAGCAAACCTGTACTCATCCAAGCACTGCAGTCTTCAGCGGTCGAAGGTTTCACCCTCGCGGAAAATCAACTCAACACAAGGATCGGAGTCTAGCTGCACGTTCACATGACTAAAACTGCGTTGCTGTGTCGGGCTGCTTTCTGTTACTCCAGAGCATGTTCAAGTTCTTGCAAACCTGAGTCGTGCTCTAAGTCGTGTGCTACATGTGCCTTCCAAGTCATTTCAATCTACTTAGCAACGTGTGTTGCAAGTGTGTTTTGGCAACACATTAGTGAATCGTGCGTGCAAGCAAACACACTCACAAATACACATGTTGTGTCGCTGAAGCAGCTATCCTTCCAGCCAAAAAGGGTTTCCATGCTTATGGTGTTTCGCTGAGACTCTGGTGTTACCGACTTCAAACAGGGTCCCTCAACCAAAAACACATGCCCCTAACAACACAAAATTGCAAATGGCACAAAGCCTCTAACACAACGCTCCCATCGTGTTGTTGTCCTAGTCGCTTTTGGGGAGGGGTGGTGTGTATGTGTCTGTATGCACATGATGTGTGTAGTTGTATGTATATTGTGGATTCGGGCACGAGCCTGTGCCCAGGCAATGGGTAAGTTGGGGTAAACAAGCCACAAAAGAAAGGTTCCCCAAAAGCAAACCAATCCCCGGTCCCAAAGATCAGGGTTTCCCACACACCAGAGAACAACAACCAAAGGAAACAAACCAAACAAGAAAAGGGTTAACCCGCAACCTTGGTCGACAACAGGCCGCGCGACTGGTCCCTACCAACCTGGCGGCGGCCCGAGGTCTCTTTCTCCCCCGAGATGCCGTCGGTCGACGCAGGGGTTCGGCGACGCCCATTCGAGGCGCGACGGAACCCAAAACTTGAGCCAAACACCACAGGTCAGTCACTACCGCGACATCCCTGGTGATGAAATAAACCATGGCTAATCACACCCCCCTCACGAGGAGCCCGTCATATGACGGGTGGAGCGTGCCATTTACTGATAGGATTTAACTGCTCGCATGCGTCCGCAAACAGCTGGACACTACCGCCGTCAGCGGTGGAGCAAACCCACAAAGGCAGTTGCGCGACATCCCGGGCATTAAATTCCCGCCACCACCCCGAATTAATCGGGGTAACGCTGTCCAACATACCTTGTGGAAAAGTCCACATGACGACAATAGGTCACAACTGTTTGCATCAGAAATGCAAGAAGTTTAATTCTTATCAGAAGCCATGAAATAAAAGATAACGTATGTCCATTAGTACCCTCGCCTAACGGCAAGAGGTACTCCTGACCATGCGTACCTGAAAAATGCCTGAATTCCGCAAACCCGGGAGTAACCCCCCATCAGTTTGCTTTCCCTCTCACTCATACTGCTTCCGGATGAGCACGTCCAGCAGCTCAGCAGCGGTACGGGAGAGACATGACCTCCGCGCCTCAGCGGTCCGGGAGGAACATCGCCACCTCCGCACCGCGCCGACCGTTGGAGAACGGACGCAAGCCTATCGGCCGCAATCCTCGTGACTCAGCCTACCGGCTATCGTCACGTCTCCTCCGGTCACGTCCGCCCCGCGCACGGTCCCTATCACGATCCCTTTCGGATCTCCTGCGATCATCTCGCCTTCGATCCCGCTCCCGATCGAGTGAATCATCATCACGACGATCACGAGCATCGTCCCTCCTCCTGTCGCGATCATCCTCGCGCCGCGGACGATATCTGCGCCTCCTCGACTCTCTGGAATCCCTGGTGTCCACGGTCCTAACGGACCTCCGAGAAGGAGTACGGGAAACATCCGACTCCCTACGCCTCCTCCCAGATTGAGAGTTCGTCACGATCTGGTTGAGAGCTTCCAGTGCCGACGCGTCCTCACCATTTCTGATGAAATCCCTAACCTGCTTGTTCAGCACTCTGTTGGTGGAGATCGTCAAGAAAGCGTCCACCACCGAACTCTCAGGCAGCACCAGGAAGTGACCCTCCACCGGGCTCGCCGCAGCCCGCTCAGCAGACTGCAGCCGGATCTCCCCGCCTTCAGGCTTCTTTGCCATCGCCTTGGAGGCAGTCAAAGGCGCTACCGCATCCTTTGCCGAAGATCTGCCAAGCGCGGAGTGAAGATCATCCCCGCTAGCTTCTCTCGCTGCCGCACCTGGTCTGCTGTCGACATCGCCAGGCCTCGTGGATGCCTCCCGCTTTGTCGACTCCTTCGCAGCCTCGTCGGGATCCCAACGGGACTTCCTTTCTCTCTTCTGCCCTTCGGCCGACCCGCGGCTACCGCCGGGAGCGTCACCTCCGCCTGTCTTCTCCTTCTTGACCTCAACCTTCGGTTCGGCCTGCTTCGTCTCCTTAGCCACAGCTTTTGGAGCCGGAGCACTCCTCGCCTCAGATGCCGAAGCAGCCTTCCCTTTCGGCTCTGCCTTGGGAACCGGGGTCACTTTGGCCTTGGCACTCGGCCTGGCCCCTTCAACCACCATCTCGGCCCAAGACTTCTTCGGCTGAGCAGCTGCTGCATCAACCTCCATCGGAGCAGGTCCAGCGTCATCCTTCGCCTTTGGGACGGATGGGCTACCGCCCTTACCGGATCCTTTACCCGGCACTTCACCTGACTTTGGTGGCGGGCCGGAAGGGCTACCGCCCTTACCGCCCTTTTCCCCCTTCTTCCCTTTTCCTTTTCCGCCCTTGGGGACCGGTTCCTGCCTGGGACCAGGACTCGGCGCAGCATGATGCACTGATTGGAGTCCCTCGATGTCCACATTCAATGGTTCGGGTTGACGACCGTCAAGAACCGTCCTCACCCTTTCGTCGCTAACGTAGACGAATGGGTCACGGAATGGTGCGGGAGGCTCCGACTGTCCGGCATTGATCGCCTTCTGCACCTTGGCTATCGCCTCCTTCAACCTCTTCTTCTCATCATACCCTGTCTCCGATACCATGTACTCCCTGAGCTGCGACATCAACGCATGACTCTCCAGGATGTCCACGTCCTTTCGATGGGTCGGGTACAATGGGGTCAGATGACCAGCCGCAGAACCAATCACGTATGCCATCGGGATATAGAATGACAAGTACGTGTCATGACGAGCGAACTTCCTAACGGAAGTCGTCATACGCCTACCCCACTGCGCAGCGTGTCTTGGATTGGCTCGGAAATACTCCGTGACCGACTCAAATCTATCGACTTGGTTGGTCTTGATCAGGTGCTTCGCCACCCACTTCTCCACAAACGCATCCGAGGCCGAAATCCCGGACACATAGGAGAATTGGAAGAGCACCTTCGCCAGCTCATCCCACGCCGCATCGACACCTCCCTTGTCTTCACCAAGATAAGGGGGAAGTCTGATGCCGCTCTGCACCGTCATCCTTAGATCGGATGCCATCGAATAGGAAATCAAATTCCTCTTGATGACTCCGACCACTTCGGAGGGAATCCTCCTGGGCTTGAACTGCCCCATGGTCCTCACCCACTCCGGCACGATGTGGCACGTTTCGAAGTCCTTTTCCTCCGCGTTGGGGATAAAGTTCGGGTAAAAGACCGGGAGCGCGCACCCGGGACACAAGTGCATCCCATTCGGCATCAATTCCGCGCACCTCAAACAGAACGTGGCAGTCACATTCAGCCTGACCTCTTCCCGTGATCGCTTGTGCTCTCCCCTAACGGGGGTGAAGTCACCGTAGTCCCATGCCCGATGGTACACTATTGTGTAATCATCGTACATATACGCCGCCTTCCAAGCTCCCATGTGGATCTCGTTCCTAACGGCAAGAGTCTTCCTTCTCGTCAAAAACACGGGTCCAACCAAGGACCAGTGCACCCGAAGATCCACCATTACCACCACGTACCTACCGGAGTAGTTCCGCAGCCTGTCCCTGACATACCACGAAGGCGATACCTCAGCATCCGGCGCCATGGCTCCCACAAGTGGGATCAGGCCCTCATCCTGCCTACCATCCCCAATGGTCTCGTACACATCGGGCCTCGTGATCAATATCTCGATCATGGCCTTTCCATTGCGCCTCACCCTTTGGAGCTGAACCGCCTTCCGAAAGTCCGAGAACTTCATGATGACGTATCCCACCATGGGGAGTTCATTCCAATGCATCTCGTACATTAGAGATCCGCCAGGTGCATCTTCCTGAGTATACCTTTGCCTAACGGCACTGTAACTCAAGTCGCGTCCGATCCGCGTGTGCCTAACGGCAACCAACCTGGTGCTCTCCTTGAGGAGAACGCCATCCCCGTCGTACATGACCATGAGCATCGCCTCCACTTGCCCTATCGGGAAAGCCTTAAGCGTCGGAATGAAGAACTTCCAAGACATCTCAGCGTTCTCCATACCCGAAATCTCCTTCAGGAACCAGATGGCCTGGTCACTTTTCACCCAGTTTCCAGCCTCGCGTCCGGTCTCCTTCAGCACACGTTCCTCGAATAACTCCGAGACTCTCTTTGAATTGATGACCAAGCCGTCGAAATCGCACGAGAGCAGTCTCATCAACT